GTGCGTGTGCCCGCGGAGCCCCTGAGCGCGCCGGTGGGCAAGACGGCCGAGCTGACCTGCACCTACAGCACCTCCGTGACGGACAGCTTCGCCCTGGAGTGGAGCTTTGTGCAGCTCGGGAAGCCCATCTCTGCGTCTGCGCCCGTGAGCTGGGGGTGGGGAGGCCAGGGGGCGGCTCTGGCCTGTGGCTGGGTAGGCCCGGAGAGGCAGGAACTGGGAGCCCACCCAGGCTGAGGGCAGGGAGGGTGCATTGAGAGGTCAGTGTGCTTGGACGAGAAAAGAAGTGGACTCTTTCTAGATCTTTCTAGAGGACCGCAATCTGTAATCCCAGGCCACACACACGCTCCTGTAGCCACCTGCCTATCCCGTGGCTGCCTATGCAATCCCCCGCCTCAGTGCAGGCCCAGCTGCAGTTAATACACGCTGGTAATGGACGCTCAGCTGCCGGGATTGAAAGTAGGATAAAATGCTGCCCCTTCCACGAATATTGGTATTTTGTTCCCCAAATTGAGACCCATACTTAGTTGGAAGCAACGAATATAGTCCGTTTCTCACTTGGGAAGGGCTGGTATTTGGGGAGCTAGACCTTGGTGATTCCGGCTACAGAGTGTCAGCTTCCCTGGCTGGTGTGAGGGATGGGCCTTGTGAGAAGGGACCGCAGCGTTGATGCCAGCCAGGAAAAGGAGCGCATGTGTGAGTGTGTGTGTGTGTGTGTGTGAGTGTGTGTGTCTTCTGCTTCTCCCAGATCCTGTACTTCACCAACGGACAGCTGTATCCCACGGGTTCTAAGGCAAAGCGGGCCAGCCTGCGTCAGAACCCCCCCACAGGAGGGGTGGCCACCCTGACCCTGGCGGATGTCCAGCCCTCAGACACCGGAACCTACCTCTGCCAAGTCAACAACCCGCCAGATTTCTACACCAATGGCTTGGGGCTAGTCAACCTGACTGTGCTGGGTAAGGCGGGCTGGGGACACACACACCCTGAAAGGCAATGCGGGCCCTGGTAGATCCCCCGTATCCTGACTTCCCGCCCAAGCACACAGCTGCACTGGGGACCCCGAGGGAAAGTACCTCCTTCCTGGAGCCTTCTGACCCAGCCAGTCCTGCTCCTGCTCCACCCTCCACAGGTGCTCCTCCCTCAGGCCCTATAACAAAGGTCCCGCATACAGGGTTTGAGTCATGCCCCCAACAGCTCCATCTTTGGGGAACCTCCCATTTGCACCTCAGATTCTGTCCCTCCCCAGGTCAGTGGCGGGGGGGGCTAGGAAAGGGGGGATGTCCATTAAAGGAACAAGGGCCTCTACCACACTAAGCACCAATTCTGTGTTCAGAGCTTCCATCTCACCCCAGACTAGAGCCTGCTCGGAGATGAGCAAACAGGAGAAACGACTAAAGGGGCTGCGGATGTTTAGATGGAAAAGAGACCACTTAGGACAGTGGTTCTCAACCTTCTGGCCCTTTAAATACAGTTCCTCATGTTGTGACCCAACCATAAAATTATTTTTGTTGCTACTTCATAACTGTCATGTTATGAATCGTCATGTAAATATCTGATATGCAGGATGGACTTAGGCGACCCCTGTGAAAGGGTCGTTCGACCGCCAAAGGGGTCGCGACCCACAGGTTGAGAACCGCTGACTTAGGAGATGGCGAAAGGCTGTCCTGTGAAGGAGAGATCTTCCGTTTCTCTTTGTGGGCCCAGAGGGCAGGAGTTGGGACCAATGGGTAGATGTTAACATAGATTTGGGCTCCACGTGAAGATTTTTCTAACAATCGGAATTTCCAATAATGCAAAGCATTTCCTGGGGATGCAGACACGGGACCCTCCCCGCCAGGTTTCTACCCCAAAAGTGGACCGCTGTTTGGTGGAGTATTGAATGAGGAAATCCAGCATTTCATGGGGGAGGGGGGATCGGAAGCCCACCAAGGTTCTTGCTGTGACTTTTGCAGTGCCCCCCAGTGGCCCCGTGTGCAGCCAGACCGGTGACACGTCTGTGGGAGGCTCTGCTGCCCTGAGGTGCAGTTCCTCAGAAGGGGCTCCCAGGCCCGTGTACAGCTGGGTCCGCCTTGGATCTTCTCCTACACCTCCTCCTGGCAGCATGATGCAAGGTAAGGGCCGGGCCTGAAGGAAGAGGGGGGCACTCAGGACCTGGGCAAACCTGGTCTCTAAACCCCACACACCCACAATACCAGCGCCAGGCCTGTGTGCATGAGACAAACGCTATACCTTCTCCCTGCATCTTCCTTGGCTCCTGTCTTGGTGCCTCCTGTCTGCCTCCCTGCACAGTCTGCGACTGCGTGATCCTGGACGCATTTCTCAAGCTCAGTAGACTCCTGATATTGTGGAAGAGAGTGGAAGGCAGGGGCATTCTGTGATCCCCGCTTGTCTGTTTGGGAGAGGTTTCTTTGAGATTTCTTCAGGGTCATGAATCATTCCCAAACTTCCAAGAAGGGAAACTGAGGCAGAGTAGCATGGACCGTCTTGATCACTTAGCTGGTTTCTCTGGGGGAACCATGTTACTGGCTAAGAGCCTTGGCTCCTCAGCCTCCTCATGCTCGCGCCAGTGCCCTCTCTGTTCCCAGCCCCAGCCCACCCTCTCTCAATCCAGAGAGCCGATCACTTCCTGCTGTGTGCTCGCTGGTTCGGCTCAGTGGATAGAGCGCCGGCCTGTAGACTGAAGGGTCCCCTGGGTTTGATTCTGGTGGAGAGCACATGCCTGGGTTGCAGGTTCAATCCCCAGTAGGGGGCGTGCAGGAGGCAGCCAACTAATGATTCTCTCTTATCGCCAGTGAGCACCCACCCCAATTCCATTGCCAGTTTCTGAGCTTCAGGCGTGTGCAGCCTCCCCCTCCCCGAGAAGGCAGCTGCGCAGGGCGGAAAGTGCACAGGCGTTGCAGTGGCTTTGGCATTTATTGGTTAGGAAGGGACTGACGAATACATTGAGGTTCGTCACTTCCTGACAGGATGAAAGGAAAAATGCTTTCGTCATAGGGGGTGCTCACTGCGAGTCCAGTAATGGAACACTTACTTCCTCTTTACTCTCTAGATGAGGTGTCCGGTCAGCTCATTCTCACCAATCTCTCCCGGGCCTCCTCGGGCACCTACCGCTGTGTGGCCACCAACCAGATGGGCAGTGCCTCCTGCGAACTGACCTTGTCTGTGACTGGTAGGGATGCCGGGCAGAGGCCAGG